GAAAATTGGTAAATATCTAAGAAGCATGAAGGAGATGTAACTCAGTGAATTTTAAAAAAACGATTACATTCTGTGCTGCGACAAATAAATCAAAATGAATCTTTGGGACTAAAGACCTTTTTGAGGGATTACGATGTGTCATTCAGGAAGTAATAATTTTAATTCAAATTATTAGAACAGACGCACTCTACGTGAAAAGTGTATCAAACCCATGTTTACCTGCTGAAATTATTGCTAACAATGTACATATGAAGAACAGAGTGCGAAGCATGGTACCAAACAGTTGGCAGACGTCTCAGAGTAATTTCGTACTACCAAGTATGGTGTTAGCAGTGTCAGCAATGTTTGTATTCGAACGGAGGCCTTTCTAATCGCAAACTCAGACTCGCCCATGTTCTTCAGCTAATGTAAACCAAAAATCGTCATTGTTTATGAAATGAATAGCTATCGATGTGGAGACTATCGTTTGCCAGGGTTTCACTTCATCCATGCTTCGGATTATAGCTTGAAAGAATTTTGATTAGAGAGAATAGACAGTCTGTTCAGTCTTCATAATATTGACATGTGAGCCGACAGTCGGTGGGAAATAACAATGTCTGGTTGTGAAATTAAAATTTTTTTTTAGATTTGGGATGGCAATATTGGCGGTTTCTAATAATCCAATGTTCTATTCCAATTAAATCAAACTGGAAGCGGTTTTTGTATAACAAAGACAAAAGTTACTTGGAAACTAGGTAGCCTTTGTTGCTTTCACTTATAAAATGCGCCTATACATCAATCATTTTTACAGGGTGAAAATTTAAGAAAAATCTTATCGATGCAAATAAAATACCTATGGTGTAGCATCAATTTTCATTCTCTTTTACTTAGTTATCGAGTTCTTAGCTTATACTTATTGTTTTTCTGAAAATGAGTGGGTTTACATAAATTTCGGATATTTATCCAGTGACAATGACGAAGACACCATATGGCACAGAATTAGATATAAGCAAACCTTAGTTCGGAAGACTTAGTGACGTCTTGAACAAGTTGATACTATAACGTTGATAGAAATATGGAAATCAATGTAAATATTTAAAAAATGGCAAATCAGTTGTAAGGCACACATATGATATCTATAATTTTTCGGTTCTACTTGTAGCAAAAGCTGAGGAAAGCCTTTTAGATAAGGCGGCACAAACGTAGTAGTCTGCCGAGTGACTTTTGAGCAAATCCCGTATCTTTGCCTGAGTGATTAGGGCATCTAGATTCGTCAACATGAAGTTTTCACCCTTCTCCAGGAGAATAGAATTGTTGTGCACCTGAATATATTAAATACAGGGACCAGGAAGAAGCCTATAAATTGCTATCGTAGCATTTTAGTTAAAAGTCGGATGAAATAT